ATACACACACACACACACACACACAGACACACAGCTGTCTCTTATACACATCTAGATGTGTATAAGAGACAGGTCCGAGGCTCGGCAATAAAGTCCGAGGCTGTGGAATGACCGGGCTACCAGTAGCCTGAGCCACAGGCCTTGACAACCGGTAGGTACTGGTGGTTTAATACTCCTAGCGCACCCCCTGTCCCTACTATCCTACCTCAGTGTGACCAGCACTCAGGACCATCACCCTACCAGTATTGAGGGCAACTTGGACCAGACAGCAGTGACACCGCCCATTAGGGCGGGGGGCAACATGCGTCCACCAGCACCTACTGCCTTGTTAGGCACGGTGGATGAATCTGCCTACCGTGCGGGTCTGTATTCATTCGCGTCAGAGGGGGTGGTACTGGTGGTATAGTTGTGAGAGGTAGCTGTGCTTTCAGGGGTCCCCTGTACATAGGCTTAGAAGTAAGGTTGAAAAAAAAAAGAAAAGAAGAAGAGGACAAAGCCTACCCTCACACTGTCAGCTCTTCAAGATCAGGTGGCCTAATAACACCCCCCGCTTCCTGCCTCTAGAGTCGTTTTTGGGCTTCCAGCCAGCAAACAGGTCCGATCCTTTTCAAAGGCCCGGTCCCGGCGAAATCAAAACCCCTTCTCAAACTTTGCTCCGACCTCCACGCCAGCAGGCGGCGACACCAGCCTGGCTTCCTGGCTGTCCCCCCAACTCCGCGACGATGCTATCACGGCATTAGGCAAAGAGGAATGTCTGACGTGACAGCCCCTAGGACAGCGTCGCGGCAGGTAAATGTTTCTCCCTCCCTCCCTCTCTCGCATAGATAGACACACACACACACACACACACACACACCCTCCTGACGAGTCGGTGAAAGTCTGACGAAACAATATGGCACGGTCATGCGTTTTTCGAGTTATAGCGAATATGAGAACACACTCACAGTTCTTCGGGGCATCGTACTGAGAAGATTAGCATGGCCCCTGCACAAGCATGACACGCATAAATCGAGAAATGGTCCAAATTAAAAAAAAAAAAGAAAAAAAAGAAAAAAAGAAAAAAAGAAAGAAAGACAACACACTCACACACACACATATACTCCCCCCCCCCTCCTCCTCCTCCCCCCACCCCCTTGCCCACAGACACGTACACAACGTACTGGTGAGTCGGTGGGGTTCATGCCACGAGTGCGGAGAGGCGGGGGGAGAAGGAACACTACCTTGGGTAGGGGGAGGCCGAGTGTCTGTAGTCAGGCAGGCAGGAGGAAGTGGCCGTCGAAATCTCGAGGGGCTGTTGTAGCAGGAGAAGGGCGAAGTGGGAGGAGGAGGAAGCGGGATCGGGATGATGAGAGGGTTGGGATCTGGTCGGTCAGGATGGGATCAGACGACAGAGGACGGAGAATGAGAGCCACCATGATAGGAGGAAGAAGTCGAGGGGGGTCCAAAAGTAAGAGGGATGGGAACATGTAAGGAAAGGAGAGAGGATGATAGTGACGAAAGGCCTGAATCACGAGGGGGATGGGGTAAATGTGGATATCCAGGTTATGGAGGAGGAGAGCAATGAAGAGAGAAAGAGCGACAGACAGAGGAAAAGAGCTGAGGGCATACCAGACCCGCAGGGGCCACATCGAGTATGGACGAGTAGGAGCTCGACGAGGATCCCAACGGAGGAGAGAAAGGCGTGGAGAACGAGGGGAGGAGAGAAGAGACAGACACAGGACAAGGAGAGAAGAGGATGGGGAAAAGTGGATTGGAGGTGGGAAGATCGGGAAGGGTATGGAGGGCACAAGCTGAAAGATGGAATCGGACAGGCGGAAGGGAGGCAATGGAGAA